TGACATCAGCGGTGGGTGGGGTGACGTCGGTGGTGGGTGGGGCAATGGTGGGTGGCTTTGATTGGTTCTGATTTGGATGTTGCTAAGCAAATTAACTGTTCCAAACCAGAAGTAGGTGGACTTTCCAGGGTGTGCACTCTTCTGGAAACCGGCCTATGAGTTCTCTTACTTCATTTAGGTCTAATTGGACTCTTTTGCTGTCTTGAGTCTATATACTGGCTGCAACTACAATGGCTTGCCAGTCTGGATCCTGAAGACAATTTTAACCACAAACAAAAACAACGTTGCTGGAAAAGCTCAGCAGGTCTGGCAGCATCTGTGAAAGAAAAAACAGAGTTAACATTTTGGGTCCGGTGACCCTTCCTCAGAATTTTAACCATTTGGCCAAGGCATGGTTTTGTTTTGGGATTTTGCTGCAGGCTGAACTCGAGTCCCTCTGTTCACACCCTGTGTGAGGCTATGCAACTGCCTTCACTCAAGTAGTGTTCCCCAAGCTCAGCTGGACTGTTGAGGGTGTCCATTTCCATCAGAATACCCTGTAACTCATATGCTTTACTTGCTACATTTTTCAACAATAAAGTCAGTTGTAGTGCCTGTTTGAAGTAGATGCTTTTGCATGGTTACAGCATTAATCCCACATTCTAAATGGTCTCTCAGCATCTTATTGAGGGTTAAACCAAAGTCACATTCCTCTGCCAGTTGTCTTATCCTAGTCAAAAATCCCAATATGGAATCCCCAGCTCTCAAATTGCTGAGTAGAACTGATAGCACCTCAGAATTAGAGGAGGCTTGGGGTTGTAATATTACTTTACTAAATCTGTCAACTCTTGAAATGTTATAGTATCTGGTGCTTCAGGGAAAGTTAGGCTCCTAATAACTGAAAAAGCTGTGCGTTCACAAACTTTCAGGGGAATTACTCCTGTCTTTTCATCTGCCCCAATGTCATTTGCCCAGAGAAATTAATGTATTCTTTCCACATACTGGGCCCAGTCTTCCACAGCAAGGTTGAATGAGACAAGCTTCCCAAATAACAACATGATGCAAGCATTGCTTACCCCAATTCAAAGACGACTGTTGCAAGCAAGTTTCTTCAGGACATGCTTTACTCTCATCGCCACTGAAATAACTCCACAGAGGCCGGTATCCCATCATCAAGACACACTTTAATTATTTGTGCAAAATCCTTGACCCTGATCCAGCTCCCTCAGAGCCAGCTGTCAGAATGTCTGACACTCCTGCTTTTATCTATCAGCCAGGGCTCCCCGATTAGACCAGATTAACAGCCCCAGTCAAGGAACTCATATTCTGTGAGGTCTACCTAGCTGATCTTGTTAAAATCACAACAGTAAGGAGGGATGATATCTTGAAATGGTCATCGAATGAGGCTTTGTGGTAAAACTTAGGAACAAAAATGGGACAATCACACTGTTAGGAGTGTATTATAGGCTTCCAAACAGTCAACAGACATTTGAGGAGTAGACACATAGTCAATTCACTAAGGCATGTAAAAAGAGGTAATTGTATTACAGGATTTTGACTACCGCAAAACTAATTGGGATAATCAAAACACAAAGGGTTTAGAAGGGGCACTTTTCTTGAAATGTGTATAGGAGAGCTTTTTATGTCAACATGTAGATGGTCCTACATGTTGACATAAAACTAGAGAACTAAGTTCTAAGGTAGGGTCACTGGACCTGAAACGTTAACTGATTTTTTCTTCACAGATGCTGCCAGACCTGCTGAGCTTTTCCAGCAGCTTCTGTTTTTGTTCCTGATTTACAGCATCCACAGTTCTTTGGGGGGTTTTTACAATGAGGTAGAGTCAGAACAGATTGAACAGTTTAAAAACTGGGCATCCAGCAGCAACAGAATTGAATCCATCACACCCTGTAACTTGCCATAAAGGCCGGAAATTAACCTTGGTTCAATAAGGACTGTAAAACAAATGCCAGGCGAACTAGGCATACCTAAAAATGAGATACCAACCTGGTATTGCTACAACACAGGATTGCATACAAGCTAAACAATAGAAACAACATGGTCCAGACATAGCTAAATGATTCCGCAAAGAATCGGATCAAATTTCTGCAGTTCTGTCACAGTCGCTAGTGCATGATCATTCAGCATTGAACAGTAAATGGGAGAAAAAGAAGGCTGTATGAACATCCCATACTCCTGGCTTAGCACTATACTGCTGTTCTTTCATTGTTGCTGGATCAAAATCCTGGAACTCTTTGCCTAAGATCACTGTGGGTGCACCTACAATACTGCATGGGTTCAAGGAGATAGCTCATCAACACCTTCTTGGACATTTAGGGAATGAAAATTGGCCACTTGAGTTATGCTCACATTCCATGAACAATTGAAATAAACAAAAGAATCCTTCCTTGTGTCAGATGAGAAATGAACAACCAGTGGTCATTGTAAATGGAAGCATGGAAATCTCATCTGAGTGAGATGACAGTTGACCGCCCATCTGAATTTTCCCACATTTTTCTCTGCAATCCCACCCAATTTCAGGAGGAATTACAGAAATCTAGTTCAGATTACTGTTTGTCAGGTTATTCTACATGTTTTATTATCTCCACATTATTTTGTTGCTGAATACTAAATCTTTGAAAAATTTGCAGAAAGACTACGTTATTTTGCCTTTCAGAAGATAGTATATAAATTCTTGGGAATGTGTTAATATTTCCCACAGAGAAAGTAGAAAAAGATAAATTGAAGGCTAGTGTAATGGTGCAGATCTTTGGAATGATAAGTCAGAGATAGAATAGGTATAATCAAGCATGCATGTATGCAAGACACAAAGAATTGCTGATCATTCTGTGATTATTCTCATCTCTCAGTCGATACATAATGTGTTTATAATTATTAGTCTTATCAATTGTTTCTGAAGTGCCACTGATATAAAATTTAATAATGTTAATATCTCCCAGGGAGCTATGAATAATTCAGAGGTTTTCAGGTTCAATGCTTGGACATTGGTTTACGATCACAAATAGGTCATAAGAATAGGCAGTAATGGAATAGTCACAATTCTTCAATGAGCATGAAGTTGGAAAGAGCTGTGCATGAATTAAAATATTAATATGTGAGCTTTCATGTTTCATTTTTCTTGTCTTGGAAGAATATTTCACTTTTTTCTCAGGCAGTGAAAACTTCCTTCATTAATAACTCGTTTTTTTTATGCTATTGCATGTGATGAGTCATGATCAACTGCCAGTTTTAGGTTTCTATCTTAGCAGAGGGAGGGTTCCAGTGTCAGGATATTTTCTAAGGTGCAGAGAAAGATGGGTACCTAGCCTCCTTCAACTTTGGGATCTTGATTTGTTTTAAATTCTTGCTTACTGTGTAAATTCAATATTTGTGAATTCAAAATCTCTGCTAACAAACTGCTGCAACAGAACAATTTGTGAATGTCTAATGGATTAGCATGGTAGTGTAAGATATGATACATTTCTCACTCAGGCTTAGGCAAGGTTTTTTGGATTCAGGATATCTGTTGGTGCAACATAATGCAGAGGTAAAGCAGGAAAATTCACTAAAGCCAAGCTCAAACTCTTGAACATTCTTAAACCAGTTTTGTCATTCTGTCCAAATTTGTTTGTATTTCTGTTTGAACCATTCAAAAACCTTTAACTTTACTAAGAGACAATGATTCAGGGTGGCACCTTGGTAGGTTTTTATTGTTTAATTTATCAGGATATGTTTGCTGACAGAAATAGGCAATTCAGATTGGATTTTATGAGGGGAAAGCAGTTGTACAATTTGCTATACCTTACAGTTATCTGCAGTGATTTTCTGCCTTGTTGCAGCTTGAATAATTAGCTTGAGAAAAGCTGTACCAGAAGCTTGGGTGCAGACTGGGAGAAGCAGCCCAAGTATGGCCAAAGCCATGACAAGGAGCTGAGGGGAATACAATCATGAGGGTTCAAAGAAAATTGGAAGGTTGCTTAGCCAAAAAAAGAATCTCCTTGAAATTTGAACCTCGAGGAATAGAATCATTGGAATACTCAGGAGAATTGCAGTAAATTTTGAAGGACTATGGCATTCTTTTGGGTTAATTCAAGGAAAATTGAATGAACATTCAAGGAGGGGATCTTTCATAGAATCCCTACATCATGGAAACAGGCCCTTTGGCCCAACAAGTCCACACTGACACAAAGAGCATCCCACCCAGACCTATCCCTCTAATCCACACATCCCTGAACACTATGGGCAATTTAGCATGGCCAACCCACCTAACCTGCATATCCTTGGACTGTGGGAGGAAACTGGAGCACCTGAAGGAAACCCATGCACCACAGGGAGAATGTGCAAACTCCACACAGGCAGTCACCCGAGGATGGAATTGAACCTGGGTCCCTAGTGCTGTGAGGCAGCAGTGCTAACCACTGAGCCACCGAGCCACCGTGCCACCCCTTTCTGGAGAAAGTATCCACTAGAACTGAGTTTGAAACATGAGTCTTTCTAAGTTGTAGTATTACACCAGTGGTGCTTGCTTTAATTTCCATTTATGTATGATTATGTAAAAAAAAAAGTTGACTTTCCAAGAAAATTCAATAAGTGCTGTTTATAATTGCAAGTTATTTCTTTTCAGAAAGGTTCACTTGTCGGAATGGTGATAGTTGTGTTATGGAAGCAGTAATCCACAGGCCTGAACTAATGTGTAGAGGATATGAGTTTAAATCCCTCCATAGCATTTTGAGTTTTGAAATTCAGTTTAAAAAATGGCAAAAAAAACCTTTTGGATGGTTGCAAAACAAAAAGATTTTAGGAAAAGAAATCTACCATCTTCACTCAGGCTGAGTTTATATGTGGACTCTAGTCCTAACCTAGTGTGATTGACCTGTCCTCTGAATTAGTCCCTGCACAAAAGTATCAACCATAAAAGGCTTTAACAAACTGAACTGTCAGAAGAGCACTTCCTTGATGTCTCTTTGCAGCACTTATCCAACCTGCTGCATAATTGCTAATATTTTAAAAATTATTTGCAGGATTTCTTTTGACACCAATGAAGAAATCTGCATCCGGTGGGGCTGCTTTCCGCCTGCGAAAAGATGATACAATACAATTTAAACCAACTATGGGACAAGGTTGTGTAGACAATGAGAGAAATTAGTAAAAGATTCAAATCTGTAAATCTATGTTTGCTTATGATACTTTGCTTAAACAAATTGTGATAAACTATATTTTATTACGTTATTCTAAATGACTTCTTGAATGCTCAGTTCTGGTGCAATGTTGTTCACTGGGGTTGAGTTTTAAGAAATCATATGCATTTCTCAAGATTTCATGATATATGCATTCCTCGATGAAAACTGCACAAATGTGATAAAAAGTTTACAATTGTTCTTGTATTGCTGGATTTTGTTAATTGTTTTGTAATTTTAATGATCATTAAAGATAGGAATTTTAAGTAATGTGTGACTTACTATAGGTAAACGATAACAGAATAGAGATTAGAGAGTTGAGTGCCAGTTACCATCAAGGTAGCCAGTAACAACATTACAGATTTTGGACCGAAAAGATGTAATGCAAATATCACTAATGAGCCACCATGGAGAGTAGTAGTACAGTGGAGCCCAGGCTGCTATGGGGACATGGGTTCAAATTCCACCATGGCAAATGGTGAAATTTGAGTTCAGTAAAATCAGGAATTAAAAGATGATCTAATCACGTAACCATTGTCGATTGTAATTAAAACTGATCAGGTTCACTAATATCACTGAAGTCCTTTATGGAAGTAAATCTGATGCCTTACCACGTACTTGGTATTTATGACTCCTGACCCAGAGAAATATGTTTGACTCTCACTTGGCTTCTGCAATGGCCTGGCATGCAACCAAACCTCTACAAAATCTAAAACAAGCAATGAAACCAGACAGACAACCCAGCATTGACCTAGGTACCAGAAATTACAACAGCAAAACCAGTCCCGTCAGCCCTGCACAATCTTCCTTACTAACATCTGAGAGCTTGTCCCAAAGTTGAGAGTTGTCCCACAGACTAATCAAGCAACAACTTCACATATTCATTACATTACAATGTCCCGGGCAATACCCTTGATGTCCCTGGGATATCCAGTCCACTGAAAGAACAGATCTACCAGAGGGAGCAACACAGTGATACACAGTTGGGAGGGATTTGGCTTTGGAAGTCCTCAACATTAACTCTGGATGTCATGGCATCCAGTCAAACATGGACAAGAAAACATCCTGCAGTTTACCGCCTACTGATACCCCACCCTTCCGATGATAAATCAGTATTCTTCCATGTTGGACTCCACTTGGAAGAAGCACTGTGGGTGGTAAAGGCCTAGATCTCTGGTCAGAGGACTTCAAAGTCCATCACTATCAGTGGCACGGTAGCACTACTGAAAAAGGTGGCTAAGTCCTAAAGGGCATAACTGCTAGACTGGGTCTGCAGCAAGTGGTGAGGGAACCAAAATTTACTTGACCTCATCCTCACCAGTAAATCTGCAGCAGATGGATCTATCCATAATAGTTCTTGCAATTCTTGAATTCTCTAAGTATCTCCCCTAGGACATTTATCTACATATTGCTCCATCACAACATCATCCAAAGAAATGCAATCTCAATCTACATTAATGCTGTTTGCACCTAGCTCAGCCTTTACAGGACCACTCTTGTTTCCTCCACTGCCTCTGTGCTTAGAAATTACTTTACTGACTTTCAAAGCTGAATGAACCAAAATTATCTCCACTTAAACATTAAGAATACCAAAGCCATTGCCTTTGGCTCATGCAAGAGCCTTGCTGCCAATTCCAATCCTGTCCCAGCAAATGCTGCAGGTCACATTGGTTTTTGTGTTCAGTCTCTTAATAGTCCCTCCATGGTGCGTTACTCATTCCCTCAATCCCACCATTGGCAACCTGGCCTTCAATTGTCTATGCCCCAAATTCTAAAACTCTATCCCTAAAGGTCCTGGAAAACAACCTCTTTGACCAAGCTTTTAGACACCCCTCCTAATATATTTTTTCCATTTCTTGACATCAATTTTCAGACACCTGATTACACTTCTGTCAGGTGCCTTGGGACATTTTTCTACATTAAGCACATTTGTTAGCACTAGTTGTTGTTATGTTCCTCTGAGGTTGTGCCATTTGTAATTCTTCTGCTCATCTCTGGTTATGCTTTAATAATCTGTTCATTCGAAGTTGAGATGCTTTGTTTTATCAGATTGACAGCTCTCCAGACAGTAATGTATTATTTAGCCTGATGTGAAATGGACTGTAATGAGCCTCTGAAATTTCAGTGAAGGAGCAGCAGTTTGTCAGTGCTTTTCTTAACCAAAGCTTTTTTCAGATTAGTCATGTTTTTGCATTATAATTAATCTAACTGCTGTTTTATTGGTCTGCTGGTCCATTTATATTATTGGAGTGTTTTGTTAGATTCTTTCCCTGACCTTGAGGTGAAGGGGACAAACAGCTCCACAGGCAAATGCAGATGGCTGTCAGTGCTTGCCATTTTAATTTCTATTTTCTGTTGAGGTCCTGGATTCTTAGTGGGGTGTGGTTGCAACATTTTTTTAAATCCAAATTAATTAATACCTTCGTACTTCAAAGTAATGAGGCTAGTTGCAGAGGTAGCTATAGTTCACCTCAGATTTCGAAATTTGCATCAATTTGATTTACACCTGAAACAATGCCTTTACTCACCTTAGCCCTTTCTATTTTTGAAGTTATTTCTGTCAACTTGCTGATACAAGACCCTCCATCCTATCTTCTTTTTCTGTTCTTTCCATGATAGCTCTTAGCTGAGAAATGCACAGAATACGTTTGCAAGCTCTACTAGTGCAAGTATACCACCTATTTCTTTTAAAAACTGAAAGAATGGCAGATGCTGTAAATCAGAAACAAAAACAGAAATTGCTGGAAAAGCTCAGCAAGTCTGGCAGCATCTGTGGAGAGAAATCAGAGTTCACGTTTCAAGTTAGGTGATCTTCCTCAGAACTATTCTGAGGAAGGGTCACCTGACCGGAAACGTCAACTCTGATTTCTCTCCACAGATGCTGCCAGTCTTGCTGAGCTTTTCCAGAAATTTCTGTTTTTGAACCTATTTCTTTTACCTTGTGTCATGGATGAGAATAAAAAAAAATCAAAATGAAAATCTTCCATGTAATATTTGTTTGACAAATATCAAAATGACTATACTTCAAAGTATTATATGTAGATAAGGAAGTTGAGAAATATAATCAGAAATTGCCAGAGGAAATGGAATAATATACTACAATGTAGTTTTGATTTGCTCATAGGCAGGACCTCTGCTCATTTCTCATGCCTTGAGATTCTGCATTTTTTTCTTAAGTTCCTTGCAACAGCCTCATGTTTTCAGTGTCAACAAGCAGGATGACTTGGAGAAAGAAATATAGAGATGCTTTCCTATAACTTTTTCCATGTCTGCTTAAAGGAAACATAAATTCTCTTCCTGAAGTAAATGACTTCTCGTAACTTAAAGTTTTATCTCTTTCACCATCACCACTAGATATTCATTTGTTCTGCCACTGACTCTTAATCCTGAGCGTAAAACCGTCACTTGAGCCTAGGGTGACTTTCAAATGGGCAGCCACAACTATAACTAGAGTCCTCAACTGTTCTTGTTATTCTAATATGTAAGTGGAAACACTATTTACAGTTAAAATTTAATTCATGGAATGTAAGGTTCTGCACATAGGCTTGAAAATCAAGCAGTCCAATGAACTATGCTGAAATAACTAATAGGTTGAAAGAGACCTGTGTGTCCTCAACTCAGTGCTAACCGTATCACTAACTTAATGAAGAGTGATCGACAAAGCCAGTAGAATGTTGAACTGCGTAGCCAAATAAGTAGAATATAACATAAGAACATAACATAAGAACTAGGAGCAGGAGTAGGCCGTCTGGCCCTTCGAGCCTGCACCGCCATTCAATAAGATCATGGCTGATCCTTTCGTGGACTCAGATCCACTTACCCGCGTTCTCACCGTATCCCTTAATTCCTTAATGATATAAATCAGAGAAGGCAGCAAGCTAAAGGTCCCTGAAAGTTTTTACCTTAGCGATCAGGTACAAGTCTTAAATTTATTCCTGATAAGTTCAGATAGTGGTCTAAGAGATATTCAAAAACTGTTCCAGTATTTTCCTGCTTAGTGTAACCTAACGTGCAGAGAAAGAAAATAAACTTGCAATAAACTAAAATATAAAATGCAGAATAACATAAATAACCTAGACTAAGATATGGTCAAAAGTCACACAACACCAGATTATAGTCCAACAGGTTTATTTTAAATCACACATGCTTTCGGAGTGCAGCCCCTTCGTCAGCTGCAGTGAGAGAGCAGAGCACACAGACCCAGAGCTTATGGGCAGAGAGATCAGAAGATCCTACAACTGGTATGAGTGGAGTGCCTGATGATAAGTCTCTGCAGGTGACCTACATGGCGAGTCAAGTGTCAACAGCTGAATAACCAGCGATGGGATGACCTATAATCTGATTAAATGAGGCAGAGAGATAATTTCAAAAAATTAAAATAAGGTGGTGCTGGAGACAAACTAAATGACTGGAATTGCATGCCGAATTCAAAACTATACAAACTAATTAAGGTAGAGAGATAGTAACAATTTACCAAGGTGATGCTGTCAAACCAGGACAGTGAGGAAGATTTTACAGATGCAGAACAGTATGGTGGGGTCACCTGTAGCACGACATGAACCCAAGATCACAGTTGAGACCATCTTCATGGGTACTGAACTTGGCTATCAGCCTTTGCTCAGTGATTCTTTGTTGTGTATCTCGAAGTCTGCTTTGGAGAATGTTTACCCGACAATCAGAGGCTGAATGTCCTTGACCGCCGAGTTTTCCCTGACTGGGAAAGAACATCCCTGTCTGGCGATTATTGCGTGGTGTCCATTCATCCGTTGTGTGAGCATCTGCATAGTTTTGCTTATATACCATGCCTCTGGGCATCCTTGCCTGCAGCATATGAGATAGACTTCTGATTTTGTCTACCCCAGTCCTACACCGGCACCTCCACATCAAAACTAAGATATGGCAATTGGAAGTCTGGACTTTTGAATACGGAAGTTCATGAGCAGCAAAACTGTCTCAATTGAACACATCTGCAGCAGTTGTTCCCATCTCAACTCAGAGCTGCCTAGCAGTTTTTAAACTTCACTCATGGAATGTGGGCGTCATTGGATGGGCTATTGCCCACCTCTAGTTACCCTTGTGTATTTGATGATGAACTACCTTCTTGAACCACTGCAGTGTGGTTTTCTGTATCTGCCACCCAGTCAGTGGTTGGCAACTTGAGAAGCCCGCAGCACCATGGCATAGGATATGACTGCTGCCAGGTCAAAGTCTCAACCCTCTCTTCCAGACTGCACAGATAGAGGGTCACCCACGGGAAAGGCAAGTAATGTTTGGTGTGAGGGTAGGATCTCATAGGGTGGAGGTCCTCCCAGGGACTGGAGCCCTAGGTTCTGTAACAAGAACAGGATGTTGGGTTTTAGCAGCCCCTGCCTTATCTATCATGCCTCAATCAGGTACAGGTGCAGATTGAGGAGCTTTCCACCTATAAACTCAACCTCTCTCCCTGCTTCACCAGTTGGGTGGGTCTACTGTTGTCCCATCTTGAGCTGATATGTTTGCCTGCCCTTAGCTCAATTGATGGGTCGGAAGTTCGAGCTTGGGGCAGTGGTGAGAATCTGGTCTGAAATCATCTTGCCCAATGCAGTTCTTTTTTCATCTCTGGGCCCAGAAGATCCACACATAATGTAGGAAACATGGCATTCAATTTACATGTCTAAAGAAAAGCAATGAAGTAATTAGCAGATGCTATATTTATAGTGTTGTTGGTTGAGAAATAAGAATAGGATCCCAAGGAGAACTGCCCTGCTCTTCTTTAAGTAGTGACACAGAATCCTTTAAGTGCAGAGATAACAAGGTGTAGAGCTGGATGAACACAGCAGGCCTAGCAGCATCAGAGGAGCAGGATAGCTGACGTTTCGGGTCTGGACCCTTCTTCGGAAAATGTACACCTGAGTTGCAGACAGAGCCTTGGTTTATTGTTTTATCAGAAGCTGAAATCTCTAATGATGATGACATGAATTCCTGATATGCACTCTCAGCAGGTGCAGTTCTGTTAACTCCTAAGATTACCCATTGTATTATTCTGATTGTTTGTGTTTATTCATAGACAGTTTGCCTGCATTGTGTTACATTTCATTGATTGCGCTGGGGGAGGGGAAGGAACAACTGACAGGGCCGTCTGTCAAAATGAAGTTATCTCTTAAATGAATCTTGAGAACAATCCCTTTGAATTCTCACATACCTTGGCATTAAATGTACTATGCATAATGTCCTTTACTAGTAAGAATCAAAGGAAATATCTGCAAAAGTGTGACCCTAAGACTATGCAGTTGTATTGTAATGCCAAAGAGCGAGGCATTTTAGCAATCAGAACAACTTGTCTGGTAAAATGTAACCCTGGAGAATTGCAATGGAATGACAAGGGAGCAGGTGGTCATCCAATCTCAGCTGGCTGAACAAAATCATTGGAAATGCTTGCAGCAAAATGACTATAAATATCACTGTTGGGTTACAGCAGCTTTTAACATTTTTAGCTAACAATGTTGTTACTACAAAGCTACAGTTCTTGGCCTGGTGCTGTTTATAATTAGCTGTTTGCTTTCTTTGCAGAGATTGTAACCAAGAGCTAAGTGCTGCAATAACTTGCTGGCACTGAAAGACATGATGTGGAGGTGCCGGTGTCAGACTCGGGTGGACAAGTTCAGAAATCGCACGATACCAGGTTATAGTCCAACAGGTTTATTTGAAAACACAAGCTTTCAGAGCTTTACTCCTTCTTCAGGTGTTAGTGAGAGAGGTAATATCGGAGACAGAATTTATAAGTAAAAGATCAAAAGGTCACACCATTGATGAGGATGTACTAAACAAACCTGTTAAATCTTTAATCAATTAGAAGGTTTTAATTGATTAATATAATATGTAAATCCCTGAATTCCTTTCAAGTCACTGTCCTGTGAGAACTAAAGGTTTTATCAGTGTGAAGAAGAGGTAACATTTTAAATCAGACAATGCATGTTAGGTGTGAAGCCTTGTTTAGAATCTGTTTGTGTTTTGGTTTGGAGTCAGACTGGTTTTATTTCTAAAGTAGGAATGCCACATTGACTGTCTATAAATTGTGTGCTTTTTGAACAAAATAAAATGTATCTGCAAATGCAAATTCACCCCATAGATTCATGCATGCGTGTGTGTGTGTGTGTGTGTGTGTGTGTACACATGCATGCCTCCACTTCTCGCCTTCAAACAACCACCAAACCTTAAACAGACCATTGTTCACAGCAAACTACCCAGCCTTCAGGACAACATCGACCACAACACTATACAACTCTGTCATGGCAACCTCTGCAAGGCATGAGAGATCTTTGACATGGACACTACCATCACATTTGGGAACACCACCCACCATGTGCACAGCAGATACTCATGTGACTCAGTTAATGTTGTCTATCTCATATGCTGCAGGCAAGGATGCCCTGAGGCATGGTATATTGGCGAAACCATGCAGATACTATGACAACGGATGAATGGATACCGTGCAATAATCGCCGGACAGGGATGTTCCCTCCCAATGGGGGAACACTTCAGCGGTCAAAGACATTCGGCCTTGGATCTTCGGGTAAACATCCTCCAAGGTGGACTTCGAGATACACAATAACACAGAGTCGCCAAGCAGAGGCTGTTATAAGGACCCTTGAGGACAGCCTCAACTGGGATTTTGGGTTCATGTCACACTACAGGTGACCCCAGCACACTATACACTCACACATGCATATATACACACACTCACTCACACAAACACACACACATTGTCTCACACAGATCTTCTCTCATACACACACTGTCAAGCACACAGACACTCTCTCCCCTCACACATACACAGAAACACACACTCTCTTTCTCTCCCCCCGCCTCACACACGCACACACACACACACTCACACACACTCTCTCCCACACACATGCACACACACACATTCTCTCTCTCCCTCCCACACATGCACACGTACTAACTATCCCTCTCACACAAACACACATGTGAATCTAAGGGGTGAATTTGTATTTGCAGATACATTCTATTTTGTTCAAAAAGCACATAACTTATAGACAGTCAGTCAATGTGGCATTTTATAAATTCCTACTTTAGAAATAAAACCAGTCTGAGTCCAAACCAAAACTCAAACAGATTCTAAACAAGGCCTGACACCTAAGATGCATTGTCTGACCAATACAGTGGCTCAGTGGTTAGCACTGCTGCCTGACAGCGCTGGGAACCTGGGTTTGATCCCACCCTCGGGCAGCTGTCTATGTGGAATTTGCAAATTCTCCCTGTGTCTGTGTGGGTTTCCTCTGGGTGTTCTGCTTTCCTCCCACAGTCTGAAGGTGTGCAGATTAGGTGGATTGGCCATGCTAAATTGCCCATAGTTTTCAGGGATGTGTAGATTAGGTGGGTTATAGGGGGATGGGTCTGGGTGGGATATTCTGAGGGTTGGTATGGACTTGTTGGGCCAAAGGGTCTGTTTCCACACTGTAGGGATTCTATGATTAAAACATCACCTCTTCTTTACAATGATAAAACCTTTAATTCTCACAGGACAGTGACTTGAAAGGAATTTGAGGATTTACATATACATATTAATCAATTAAAACCTTCTAACTGATTAAAGATTTAACAACATCGTGGGTTTGTTTAGTACATCCTCATCAGTAGTGTGGCCCTTTGATCTTTTACTTATAAATTCTGTGTCTGATACTACCTCTCTCACTAACACCTGAAGAAGCAGTAAGGCTCTGAAAGCTTGTGTTTTCAAATAAACCTGTTGGACTACAAACTGATGTTGTGTGATTTCTGACCTTGCACTGATAGAATCATGAGTTATACAGCACATATAAACAGATCCTTCAGTCCAACTCATCTGCGCAGACCAGATATCTTAAACTGATCTTGTCCTATTTGCCAAGATTTGGCCCATATCACTCTAAACCCTTCCTATTCCTCTATCCATCCAGATGCCTTGTAAATGTTGTAATTGTACCGCCCTCCCTGGCAGCTCACTCCATACACCCACCATCCTCTGTTTGAAATAGTTGTCCCTCAGGTCCCTTTTAAATCTTTCCCCCCTCACCTTAAACAACGCCATCTAGTTTTGAACTCCCCTATCCTGGGAAAAAGACCTTGCTGTTCACCCTATCTACGCTCCTCATGATTTTATAAACCTCTATAAGGTCACCCCTCAGGTTCTGATGTCCAGGCAAAAAATCTCCAGCCTATTCAGGTTCTTCCTGTAGCTCAGACTCTCCAATCCCAGCAACGTTACAGCACATTCAAAATCAAGACTTCAGTAATGGAACTATACTAGGAAATAAAAGCCAGAACATGAAGGTGATGTGGGGGTTTCCAAAAGTTGGTTTTTAATATGGATTTTTTAAAAGGGCTTTAAAGAAAAAGAGAGAAGTAGAGCATCAAAAAGGTGAAGGGGGAAAATTCTAGGGTGAGGTCAAGATAGCGGAAAAAGTTAAGAGGATTAGGAACATGAAGTGGCTTTTTGGCATGGTCAATATTAAAGATGAAGGAGGAAACAGAGATAGGACAAAAACTTGAAGGGGTTTGAAAATAATGATTGTTTTTATGCTCAAGGGACCTGAATTCAATATGGACTAGTGAGGAAAGTGTTTGTGGAGATAGGGCTTTGGGACAGAATCCAGTTGACTGCATTTTAGATTTGTGAAGGATGGAGGGTGTGCAGTTGTTAGCAAAGAAATGACTGCTTCCCATAAGAATGGATGAACAGTTAGGGTTGATTTTAACCCATGAGTGGTGGACAAACAACACTAAAATGTCCTGTGTGATTTAATTCAGACTGACCACACTGTCTTTCCAAATGTTGTGACTTTAAGTTGCTGTTCTGAGCAGGCTGTACCTGCCTGCCAGAAGGCACAGTGACCTTTCTTGTGTTCTGATAACATGATGACCAGGCTGCCCTATTAAAGTGAAGGCCTGAGTAATGAAACTGTTGTGGTTTCCCACCAGAAAAGGCCCAATAAGTCAATTTTATTTCTCCTGGCATAATATGGAAATTTTAGTTTTCCCAACTTCCTTCCCTGGACTGTTCTTCCCAACTCCCTACCTGCACAAAAACACTTAGCTAAAATCAGACTTTTCTTTCAAGTCCCTGGTTCAGACCTCCTGCCATCCAATTTCCCACTCCTTCTTAAATTCAGAAGCCACACAACTCCAGGATATAGTCCAACAGATTTATTTGAAATCCAACAAGCTTTCAGAGTACAGCCCCTTCGTCAGCTGCAGTGACAGAGCAGAGCACACAGACCCAGAGTTTATAGGCAGAGAGATCAAGGGCAGGGATGTCAAAAGATCATACAACTGGTGTGAGTAGAGTGTCAGATGATAAGTCTCTGCTGGTGACTTACCTAGTAAGTCACATGTCAACAGCTGAATAACCAGCGACAGGATGACCTATAATCCAATTCAGTGAGGCAGAGAGATGATTACAAAAAATTTAAAAATAAGGTGGTGTTGGAGACAATCCCCCAGCTTCTGTTGCGACACTACAGATTTCTTAAAGAAACTCAGCACCCATGGACCAGTCGAACCAGGAACATTCCCCGTCACCCTACACCAGCATCCCCCACGACGACGGCATTGCTGCAACAGCCTCAGGACTCAATACCAACTGCCAATTTCCACACGCCATCCTACAACTCATCCGTTTCATCCTCGAGCACAACGTCTTCACCTTCGACAATCAGTTCTTCATCCAGACATGTGGAACAGCCATGGGAACTAAATTTGCACCCCAATATGCCAACATTTTCATGCACAAGTTCAAGCTAGACTTCTTTACTGCACAGGACCTCTGACCAGCACTATACACCAGATACATTGACAACATTTTCTTCCTTTGGACTCATAACAAGGAATCACTAAATCAACTACTCAGTGATATCAACAAGTTTCATCTCACCATCATACTTACCATGGACTACTCTTCAGAATCAGACTCATTCTTGGATACACGCATCTCCATCAAGAATAGACACCTCTGTACCTCACTCTACTGCAACCCCACGGATAACATCACAATGCTGCACTTCTCTAGGTTCCACCCTAAACATATTAAAGAAGCCATCCCCTATGGACAAGCCCTACGCATACACAGGAACTGCTTAGATGAGGAGGAATGTGACGGACACCTGAAGGTTTTGCAGGCGCCCTCGTAAGAGTGGGATACGATGCTCAATTCCAACGTGCCACAGCGAGAAACCACAACAACGTCCACAGAAGACAGCCACAGGATACAACCGATAGAGCACCTTTTGTTGTCCAGTACTTACCTGTAACAGAGAAACTATGCCATGTTCTTTGCTTCCTTCAAAATATCATCGATGATGTTGAGCATCTCGCCAAGATCTTTCCAAGCCTCCACTTCTCGCCTTCAAACTTATACTTAACCTTAAACAGACCATTGTTTAGAGCAAACTACCCAGCCTTCAGGACAACATCAACTACAACACTACACAACCCTGTCATGGCAACGTCTGCAAGACATGTCAGATCATCAGCATGGATACTACCATCACACGTGGGAACACCACCCACTACGTACACAGCAGATACTCATATGACTCGGCCGATGTTGTCTATCTCATACATTGCATAC